ATCATGAAGCATGTTAGGAATAAAGGTATAACCCATCATGGATAACATTCCCTTGTCTATACCAGGCACAGTTCTGCATCGTGAGATACAAAAAGGATTTGTGAAACAGGCGTACTGATAAATCTTATTTTTTATTTACTTCATTTATACCCCATGGAGACCAAAAACAGTTTACAGCCTTCTTCTCTCCATCATTTTATCCTCACAACAACCTTGTGAGGTAGGCTAAGCCAAGAGTGTGTGACTGGCACAAAGTCATCCAGCGAGCTTCCATGCAGAGTGGGGATTTGAACCTGGGTCTCCCAGATCTTAGTCTGACACTATGCCATGCTGTGATGTGGAACTGAGGTAGAAGAAGAAGTAGCCCTAGTATAGTGTTCAAAACACTTTGCCTATATTGCCACAGTAATTATTACAACAGCCCTGCAGGGTAGGCCAAAGTCATTATCCCCATATTGTAAATTGGAAGACAGAATGAGAGCATTTGTTTGTGACTGAAAAGAGACTTGAACCTCTCCAAATCACAAGTTATTATCTTCAATGTTCTACAGGCATTTGGGATAAAAACTGTAAGAGTAGATGAAAGATGGTCAGATGAACAATTAGCTTCTTGTTCTGATATCAGCAGTAGAATTTTGTAAGGGTAAGGCCTGATTATAAAGAGACTTTCTTGTGCTGTGGCAGGAAATGAAAAAAAGTATGATGAGGTGGAATGTAAGATCCAGAAGAAAATGGCTGGGAATTCTTGCAGATGGGAATGACAAAAAAGGGACAAAGTTAAGGGACATGGAGGATGTTCAGAATGATGACAGATATGTGAATGGCATTCGGAATCAATCCTCTTAAGCCCATCCTGACAATTAGACTAAGCCCCAGAGAAGATTAGATGAGAACCCTGCAGAATCTGCTCAGAACGTATGCCATCCAGTTTCTTAAGCAGAGTTGAGCACACTCTACAGTTCTGTGACTGCACAAATATGAATGGGAAATTTAGCACGGTTTGAGAACCAGCTACATGAGTTTCTAGCCTCAGAGGCTATAAGGATGGTGTCTAGTGTAATCTCAGAAGCTGGAGTGGTAGTCTGAGGAGGCCAGTCATTCCCTTGAGAGCAGGTGGGGCAATAATGACACTCACTCCCTGAAATCCTAAACTGAGTGATACTCTTCTAAGACCTTCATGGCCTATAAATGAGCTGGGCAGAGCTCAGGCTTCTCTGGTGTCAAGGTGATAGGTAGCCAGTTATCCCCTTAAGGCCAGGGAAGGAGCTTGCTACAAGCAGTGCTGACATCTCCATGCTGCCAGTCAGAATTGGTGCCTGATATCAGTGCTGGTGGGGGATGAGAAGCCAAAGTTGGAATGAACTTACCCTTCCTTCTCCTTTGCAGGGGCTAAGCTACTACTTCATGGACTTTGCACTAACACAGTCGCTAAATCCTTGGACCTGAAGGTGAGCCCGCTCAGCCTCAAGCATTACGGCCTGGCCTTTTCTAAGGCCCAAACCCTGGTCTCTTTGGCAACAGCTAGTAGGGTGAGGAGAGGACTACTGACAAGAAAAGACTTCCTGAGCTCTTTTCCTACCTGTTGTATCGTTCCAGGGAAAAATAATTCCCTACAGACACAACTGCCATGCAGCTTTTAGGCCATGTAAGACTTGAGACTTTTTATGCACCCTTTCCATTCCTGTTAGAATTTTGAGAATCCCACCATTTTAAAAATAGGTTTTTGGTTCTTGTTGTCACAGGGATGTTTTAAAATACGAAGGTAAAATACAAAAAGTATTAGAACCAACGGGACAAGAAAAAATAATCCCAAATGAATTGTTTTTCGATTCTTACAATTTCTGTGTGTATGACTTGCACCCTGACTCTGAATACAGAATGCAGAACTATGCACCATTAAGAAGGGCATAACTGCTTGTGGCAGAACGGGCCTGCTCTGGCCTGCAGGCTATTCCACCCTGCCCTACTAGGAGTTCCCAATTCCCTGGAGGGGTTTTTCTTTCTCTCTAGGGTAGCCGCTACCACCACCTTCCCTTTTTCAAACAATTGCCTGCTGGGCGGGACAGGACTCCCAGCTTCCCTTCCAAATTCTGAGGACTTGCCTCTGTGTCTCCTGCTGCCCAGCGCCTGGCCACCATGGGAACAGATTAATGCCTTGGGCACCCTTGGAGGAATAGCGGCTTGCCAACTGCCTACCTTACCCCTGGCTCCCCTCTTCATATGGCGTGTTTGAGACAGTGGAGGTCTATGTGGTACAGAGAACCACTTCCAGCATCAAAGTTATAAAGTATTTATTAAAAAGAAAATGTTTACAAGCATATTTTTAGCACTGCACCAAATTGAGCAAGGAATGCAAAAGAACTTCATCAAAATGCAAGTCCTCTGTCCCTTTCTCTATATGTGCCCTATCAGCTTTTAAAATATAGGGCAGGCTCTTTAGCTTAGATGTTCTAGTTCTCTACAGAGTGACCATTACCTTAAAGCTTGCTCTCACTCTGCCAGGTGAGCACATGGTCAATGGCTGCCTGCTTGCAGAGGAGACGTCTCTGTGTGCTCCTGGTTGCAGCACCCAAGGAAAAGAGACCACTTTCTTTTTGTACTGAGATTTTATCATATCTGGTACTCCACCCCCTTGACCCTGTTCAGCCCGGGTCAAGGAAGCTTTTCCTGTCATATCCAAAAAGTTCCCTCTTCAAGCCTCTCTAGAATTGAACACCCCCAGCTTTCTGTTCCCTGCCTAAAGAGGGGGGGAGAAGGGTGAAGCTTGACCATCCATTTTGTCAAGACTGAATTAGCATTTGTATGAAGGTGGGCTGAGGTACGAGTGAACTGACTTCCACCTCTGCCTAGAGAGAGAGAAAAAACAAAGTGCAAAGTGGAGGCTTTGCTTTTGCCAACCTCCCAGGAGAAAATGCATTTCTTCACGCTGCTCATTACCCCACCTGAGCTGGGAGGCGCATATATTTGTTTATGTCAGTAGAAACTACACTACCTCAGTCATATACAGTTCTGTTTGTGTTACAGATATTTGCCACTTTAAAGGCCATGACTTCCTCCCCAGAGGAATCCTGGGAATTATTATTTTTTTAACTTTCTATTGCACTTTTCTGTTCAAAGAAAATGCAAAGCAGTATAGAACTGAATAGCTCAAAAACATTAAAAACACATCAAGCTAAACATAAACTATAGTTTTGTGGAGGTGGAGGAGAAAATCAGCAACACCCCCACAAACTGTGAAGCCATGAAATCCTGACAGGTTTAAGGCAGTGAGTATTTGTAGAGTAGATGATCTCCCTGGCTAAGCAGGCATGCAGCAGGTGACTGACTAAGTTCTGTTTGTTTCAGGGCAATAACCTGCGAGCTGTGGGAGCTGAAGCTCTGGCAAAACTGCTCAGGCAAAACAAGTCTGTCAGGAGGTGAGCAGGAAGGGGAAAAGACAGAATCTTTTTTGGCACCCAGTGGTGATGGGGGGAGGGAGTGCAGCTAAATAAGAGTTGCATCCTTTGTTGCTGTTTGCCAGGACTAAGATGGATGCTTCATGTTTTGTATGCTGAGGAGGGAAAGTAAGGGTTCTGTTCTTGAATATTTATTAGTTATGTTTGTATCCTACTTTGCAACAGCAGCTCCTCACATGGTAGCTCGCTGGGAGATTCCATCTGCCACTGAGTGCCACTGAAGAGAAAGTTGTGCTTGTACTGGAGGGTGTAACAAAGTGGTGGGGGAGCCACTGGGGCCTTGAGTGCAGTTTACCAGGGACGGAGCTACTGAGTGGAATGGTGTTGGCGCGATGATGACAAAACTTGCCAGTGTAGGTACTGTTGTCCATTAAGTGTCTGTATACCTGCATGGTGCTGCAGCTGCTACTCTGTTGCCAACAAAGAACGAAAGAGGGGGGGAAACTTAACCGAAAAAGAATTTAACCAAAAGGTTAAATACAACAAATATGCAAAAATACATGTATTTATTACAATTGGGATAAAAACAAATATGGGCCCAAATAGTAGCCTCAAATAAGGATAAAATCAGATCAGACTCTGTTTTATAATTGAATCATAGAATCATAAATTTGGAAGGGACCTCCAGGGTCATCTAGTCCAACCCCCTGCACAAGGCAGGAAATTCACAGATACCTTCCCCTCCACACCCCCAGTAACTGCTGTTCCACACCCAGAATATGACAAGAAACCTCCAGGATCCCTGGCCAAACTGGCTTGGAGAGAAACTGCTTCCTGACCCCAAAGTGGTAATCAGCATTTCCCTGGGCGTGTAAGAAAGGGCCACAAGAACTAAGCACTGAGGCAACCCTTCCTGCCCTCCCTCTCATGATCTGCCTCAGTTCACAGAATCTGCATTGCTGTCAGATGGCCATCTAGCCTCTGTTTGAAAACCTCCAAAGGAGAGACAACACCTCCTGATGAAGCCTGTTCCACTGAGGAACTGCTCTAACTGTCAGGAAGTTCTTCCTAACGTTTAGCCGAAAACTCTTCTGATTTAATTTCAACCTGTTGGTTCTGGTCCGACCTTCTGGGGCAACAAAACAACTCTGCACCATCCTCTAGATGACAGGCATTCAAGTACTTGAAGATGGTTATCATATCATCTCTCAATCATCTCCTCTACAGGCTAAACATACCCAGCTCCTTCAACCTTTCCTCATAGGACTTGGTCTCCAGACCCCTCATCATCTTCACTGCTCTCCTCTGGACAAGTTCCAGCTTGTCTATATCCTTCTTAAATTGTGGTGGCCAAAACTGAACACAATACTCTAGGTGAGGTCTAACCAGAGCAAAGTAAAGTGGTACCATCACTTTGCGTGATCTGGACACTATACTTCTGTTGATACATTTCTCTTTTTAGCAACTGCATCACACTACTCTCATGTTCAGTGTATGATCTACTAAGACCCCCTAGATCCTTTTTGCACATACTGCTGCCAAGACAAGTTTCCCCCAACCTATAATTATGCATTTGATTTTTCCTATCTAAATGCAGAACTTTACATTTATCCCCACTGAAATTCATTTTAATTGTTTTAGCCCAGTTTTACAGCCTGTCAAGACCATCCTGTATCCTGACTCTGTCTTCTACCATATTTGCTACCCCTCCCAATTTAGTATTATCTGCAAATTTAATAAGCATTCCCTCTATCCCTTCATCCAAATCACTGATAAAGATGTTGAACAAAACAGGTCCCAGGACAGATCCTTGAGGCACTCCACTTGTCACTCCTCTCCAAGAGGATGAGGAGCCATTCACAAGCACTCTTTGGGTGCCATCTGTCAACCAGTTACTGATCCACCTAACAGTCATAGGATCCAAACCACATTTTACCAATTTGTCAACAAGAATGTTATGTGGAACCTTATCAAAAGCCTAACTGAAATAAAGATAAACTATGTCTACAGTATTCCCCTGATCCAGCAAGGTAATAACTTTCCCCAAAAAAGAGATAAGGTTAGTCTGACGTGACTTGTTCTTGAGAAATCCATGCTGGCTCTTAGTAATTACAGCCATCCTTTCTAAATGCTCTAGGACAGTCTGTCTGATGATTTATTCTAAAACTTTCCCAGGTATAGATGTCAAGCTGACGGGTTGGTAGTTACCTGGATCCTCCTTGTTCCCCTTCTTGAAGATGGGGACAACATTTGCCCGCCTCCAATCTTCCGGCACCTCACCTGTTCTCCAAGAATTCTCAAAAATAATGGACAGAGGCTCAGAAATTACATCCATGAGTTCTTTTAGTATCCTTGGATGCAGCTCATCTGGCCCCGAGTACTTAGTTTCATTTAAAGAAACTAGGTGTTTAATCCTAGGCTGCATCTCCCTTCCCTCATCATGTGTTCTGTTTTTGCCATATTGAGCACTGTTTCCCTCGCAAGAGAAGACTGAGGCAAAGTAGGAATTGAGTAGTTCTGCCCTCTCTTCATCCCCGGTTACAATTTCACTTTCCTGTCCCCACACAGGGTCTACCATGTCCTTGCTCTTTTTCTTACTTTGAACATAAGAAAAGAACCCTTTCTTGTTGTTTTTAGCATCTCTTGCTAGCCTAAGCTCATTGTGAGCTTTAGCTTTCCTAACTCTCTCTCTACAAGCACTGGTTATTTGTTTATATTCATCCTTGGTTATAAGGCCCTCCTCCCACTTTCTGAATGAGTCTTTTTTATTTCTCAAGTCTTTAGAGAGCTGTTTATGGAGCCACCTTGGCTTTTTTAGACTCCTCCCATTCTTCCTCCTTATTGGAATTGTTTGTGATTGTGCCTTGAGTATTTCACTTTTAAGAAACTCCCGTCCCTCTTGAACTCCCTTCTCCTTAAGTATTTCTGACCATGGGCTTCTACCCAGCATACCTTTAAGTTTGTCAAAATTTGCTTTCCTGAAGTCCAACCTATATGTCTATGTACAGCTTTTACCTTCCCTAAGACTGTAAATTCCAAAATTACATGGCCACTACTATCCAGGGTGCCCACAACTTTCACCTTTTCAACCAGGTCTTCCCTGTTGGTAAAAATGAAGTCCAAGACAGCAGATCCCCTTGTTTCCCTCTCCATTTTCTGGAAAATGAAGTTATCAGCAAGACAAGTCAGGAATTTATTGGACCTTTCATTTTTAGCAGAATTGGACTTCCAACAGATACCTGGGTAATTGAAATCTCCCATAACCACCATGTCCTGTCTTCTTGAGAACTTTGTAATCTGTTCTAGGAGTATCTCATCCCAGTCCTCTGCCTGGCTTGGTGGTCTACAGCAGACCCCCACCATGATATCAGTATTATTTCTTACTCCTTTTATTTTTACCCAGAGACTCTCAACTAGACTTTCATGCTCAGATTCACGTATTTCCTCACAAGTATATACCTCCTTTACATATAATGCGACTCCTCCACCCTTCCTTATTTGTCTGTCCCTTTTAAATAAGTTATACCCCTCGATCCTAATATTCCAATTGAGAGTGTCATCCCACCAAGTTTCAGTAATGCCTGTTAGGTCATAGTCCCCTCCTGTATTAGGACTTCAAGTTCCTCCTGCTTGTTTCCCATACTCTGCACATTAGTATAGAGACATCAGAATCCACATTTCATACACCCTGAGGTTTTTGTTTCTGTACTTACATGTGAGTTAATGTTAGCTAGCATACGTGCCACTCCCCACAAAACGTGAGAGTTCTTATCTCCAGTTATTGGTTTTGCATTTTTGTCTCGCTCCCCCACAGGATTTAGTCTAAAGCTCTTCTTATTGAGTTTGCAAGGCTGTTTCCAAACATATTTTTCCTACCCTCGTGAGGTGCAAACCATCTCCCGATAGAAGAGCTTCATCTTGAAAGTATAAGCCATGGTCCAAAAATCCAAACCTTTCCTGAAGACACCATCTACGTAGCGAATCATTGATCATTCTGCAGTATTCTTCTTTCCCTTCCTAAGCCACAGCCTTCGACAGGAAGAACTGACAAGAATACAACCTGCACTCCCAATTCCTTCACCTGTTTACCCAGAGCCACATAGTCTCTTTTAATACATTCTGGGCTGTGCTGGGCTGTATCAATTGTTCTCACATGGATGAGCAATAAGGGATAGTAATTTGTGGGCTTGATGAGTCTTCCTACCCTTTCTGTCACATCCTAATTGTGTGCACCCGGTAGACAACATATCTTTCGAGCTGACAAGTCCGGTCGGCATATTTTAGTTCCTTAGTAGGGAATCCCCAATTACCAACCCATGCCTTCTCCTATATTGGGGAGCAGAGACTTGAGTCCTCTCATCCACAGGGGTCTGAGAAATGTTCTTCAAGTTTTGTGGAGGCTGGGGACGGAGCCCTTGTTCCAGTGGTTCAGAATCAACATCTGTGGCGAGATCCAAGAACCAATTGCTAAGTAACAGAGGCTCAGAATGTCTCTTGACCTTCCTGCTCCTGTGGGTTACATTCTTCAGTGTGCCCTCCTCCTGTGTCGGGTACTCCTCCAGTTGCTGAGATACCTCTCCCTCCTCCTGTTGCCCTCTCAGGAGTGCTTCATGCATTCTGTCCATGAACTTTTCACCTTCCCTTATAAACTCAAGTGTGGACAAGCGTGCTTCAAGTCTCTGTATCTTCTCCTCCAATACGGCTACCAACTTACACTTGCTGCAAGTGTAATTGTTGTAATTGATTTGATTTTAATCTATATATCGCTAAAAAAATTAAATATATTCATCAGGATATTCTTAAATACTTTTACAGACACACAATTGAACTATCATTCAAGATATGTGTACATGATCACGGCAGAAGGTATTTACAATGAGGCCTCTGTATCATATCTCTGCCTTGAGTCACAGATATTTATTATAAGTAACTCAAGATATCTCTTCAACACATCTTTCCATTATATTCATAAATGCACACTTAATAAATAATAAAAACTTTTTTCTTCCTTTCTCCTCCAGAACAATTTCCAATTGGTGCTAATTTTAGTATTTATTGTATTATCTGGAGCCAATATGCAATAAATATGTTTGACCGTTGAAGAAGGCCAATTGGCTGAAACGCATATGATCTTGGTCACATAAGGTTTCTGATACAATGGCTTGATTTTAGGCTACTGTTTGGGCCCATATTTGTTTTTATCCTAATTGTAATAAATACATGCATTTTTGTATATTTGTAATATTTTACAATATTTATGTTTTATGTTCATTACTGATATCATTGGGCCCTTAGATTTGTCACTCTGTTGCCTCCATCACCACCTCCTGGTGCCCTTTCGGTAAGGGCTTCACATCTCCCTTCAGTGGCAGGAGCTGCAATCCTCCAAGCAGCCCACCACATGAGCTGCTGTGTCTGCTTTTCAGATGCAAATTGTCTCCCAAAAATGGCTTAGGAATCAAAATGTGATACAACTGGTAATTAAAATACAAAATATACCTTGGGAAAGATTTCTCAGGCAAGCTGAATCCAATTGCTGCTTCCTGTCCTCCCTCTGATGGAATGGCATTTGGAAACCTGAGTGAGGGGGATTCTTAGCTGCGGCTGGATCCAGACAGGATCCCTGGCTGCTTCCTGGCCTCCCTCTGACAATCCTGTCAACGGTACCTGGAAACTGGAGAGAAAGGACTCTTATCTGAAGGTGGATCCAGGCATGACAGAGAGGTAGTTCCAGCCGTCCTTGATTATAGCTTGGGGCTGGCTGTGTTCTGAATCCTAAAGTCTCTTTCTAATTAGCCTTTAATTCTGACCCCCACCCCCAGCCTCACTTTAGAATGGAACAACTTGGGTATCTGGGAGGAAAGCTTTGCCTTGTTCTGTGAAGGGCTTGGAGCAAACTGTACTCTACAACGCCTGGATCTGCGCAATAATCAGATCAACCACCAGGGTGCAGGAGAGCTCTCCATGGCACTGAAAAACAATTCCAGTCTACAGGAACTTGGTAAGGGCTGGAGTAGATTGCATTGTTCATGCTGTGCACCCACCAGGTGCCATAGAGCAGCAGCACAGGACTGAGCAAGGGGACAGGGCAGTCATGATTTCTTTGAGGGTTGTCACACTGCAGAGATTCCAAAGGATACAAACTGACTCACTGTCAGTTGCACTAAGCAAATGCAAGCGAATCACAGAAATGTGCAACTACCAACCTTAATGACCAACTTTTTTGGCTTCTCTGTTTTATTTAAGTAACTCAAGATATCTCTTCAACACATCTTTTCATTATATACCTGAAGGTAGTCAATGAAGCTTGCAACATATACAAGCCTAAAGCAGTTGCACAATGAAATTTACATAAGACAACCTGAAAACAAGTTTGGGGACAAATAACAGGCAGCATCTCTCTTTTAACTACTTCAAACATTACTTGACTCAGTGGAGGTTATCCCAGCTTAAGTATGCATAGGATTGCTTTAATTTCCAGTCTCCTCTCCAAAGTGAAGAATCTCCATGAAATGCACTTGTATTTAACTTCTCAAAAAAAAAATCCAGTTTCATTCCCAATATCTAGAAGTCTAGAAAAGTAAAATCAAATGCATGATTGGTGGTCATGTGTGGTACTTCGTTTCTTGTCTAGATCTGCGTTGGAATAACATTGGGCTTCTAGGGGGGCGTGCGCTCCTGAATTGCCTGCATAGCAACCGGGTACTCCGACAACTTGAACTGGCTGGGAACAATATACCCAGTGACATCCTGAAGGCTGTGGGTGAGCAACCATGCCAGCCCCTAAGTGCTTAATGTTCTAGGTTCCAGGCTGTCCCATATTCACTTGATATCTTCATCTGAGTACATAAATAACCGCTATGGTAGGAAAAGGGGAAATGGTGCCTTTCCTTGCTGAGAAACTCCCTTAGACCAAGGGTTCCCTGGAAAGTTACCTGGTAACCAGGTGCCACCACTCAGGGCTTCTGAGAACTGGACTGACCTGCTGAGAAGGTAGTCTTCCAGTGCAATACTACAGCAATAACAAAACAACTTATAACCAATCCAGTAGCACCTGTGTAGTCTAGCACATGGGGGTTAAGGGAAATATTGCAGAGAAATAGAATGTACTAAGTGAAGCCAAAAATATATGTCTTTATAAAAAGGTTTCTTGTAAAAGAGAGAGAGAGAGATAAAGGGAAAGTGTGGTTGGATTCAAAAAGGGGTGGAATTAGGCAAAACAAAATACAGGGGGAAACCCACAGCAACAACATAGAGATATTCAAATGAAAAGCAATACAGTGGAACTAACTAAGCTAAACATACGTTACCTACGCTGTAGCAGGTTCATCAGAGACTGTGCAGAGTTCCTTGTGGTAACAAGAAGTCAAAGGAGTCCTTAACCCCTACCCAACTTCTTGTGGACCCAGTTTCCACTGAAGACTGAAAACTGAAGATAAGGAAAAATCCCAAATGTCCAGGTGTTTATGCTAAATTCTAAGAATGACAAGCTGATATCTCCAATCCCACACAAATTTTATCTCTGATGTCAGAGGCTACTTTGAGCAGTCAGAGCCATATCCAATATAGTCCCACCTCCATCAAGCACCTGGTAATGGCTCTGAACTTCCATGACAAATAGATGGACTGTCCTTTGTCCAAAAGGGATTAAGTCCTCCAGGAAGGTCCAGTGTGGAATGGAATAGCCCATTCTCTAGGGGTCCAAGATCCCAGACATTCTCATCTAGGTGGCATTCTTGAGCCTTAGCAGGTTTTAGGATTCCTGTGACAGTAACTATGCGGGCAAAAGGTTTCCGTCCAGTGTTGAGACAAAATAGAATTCAAATAATTCCAAAGGTTTTCTCTCTTCTTGGCACCAAGGGAACATGCCAGTCAAGTTTCCCATGAGTGACTCTGGGTCACCTGGTTATCTCTGCAACCTCATGAAACTGAGGAAACTTATTGGAAAGGATTTAACTTTTTGCTTCTTTCTGGCCCAGATCAAGCTATGGAACGCAACCAAGAGCGTCAGAACATCCTCTGTAAAAGTCATAACATGACACGTGTTCTCAGTAAAGAGGTGCTGTGCTTGAAGGAGGAGAAAGCAAAACAGGTTAGTTAGCCTGACTGCACTTGGGCTGGCAAGGGTTGTGTGGAGTATATACCAGTGAAAGCACTATAGGGACTGGTGGAGCTGCCCTGCCTTCTTTATTCTAGGCAGACTTCAGGAATGGTATCAGTAGACAACTTGCATCACTCAGGCGTTCCTGGTAGTAAGATTAATTTACCATAGGGCTTGAGGGAATGTTGCATCCCTAACCATTACTCAGTGATCTTTCATGAGCTACCAGAGGAAGTCATAGGATTTGACTTCCTATAGGATTAATGGGAGGCTGCTTTAAAGTAGAAACAACTACTTACAGAGAAGGAGACCATTTTGTTCCTGGACTGAGCCAGTTAGTTATTTAAATTCTCTCCCCCCCCCCCCAGTCCATTTAATTGGAAGACTCCTGTGTCTTTCCAGACATGATGATGTTTTTGGAGTTTAACAATTGCTGCACAGCATCTTAGAGTTCATCCTTGTCCCTTCTGTCTGATAAAACATTTCCCCAGCAAACAAACCAGTGCATTGTTGTGGAAAGTGTATGAGATGTGGACTATGGGGACTCAAACTGAAATCTCTGCTCAGCCACTCTGTCTCCACCTAGCCTTCCTCAAAGGGTTATTGTGAAGGTAAAATGTGGAGGAGAGCCATGTAACCCATACCAGACGAAAGGCACGATAAAAACTGAATACCTTTGTAAATCAATATATTCTCCGCATTTACTGGAGTGCTGGGAGGAAGGGTAGGCGATGGTCTTCCCTGCTGTGGCTTGAAGAACTACTTCTTACCAATGTGGAGATTGTCCTGGTGCTGGGAAAATAGATTCAACTGCTGATGGCTCAGATTTCAAACTCTTGGTGTTAATTTTATGCCTGTGCTTCTCAGTTTCTGGATCTTATGGACACTGTTGACAGACAGAGAGAGGAGATAACCCGCAGCAACAGGTGAGTGAATTATGGGCCGCGTGCTCTCCCCCACCTGAGACCTAAATGGTGCTGCCCAGAGGCTGCCTTTGAATGCTTCTAGACATTGCTGCAAGTAACAAGGAATGGATGACAGGACACAACACAAAAAATAACTCCTGTTCAGGGGTTTAAAGCTACGGTTGCCTTTTTGGCCCAATCTGCATTTAGCATTTGCTCAGTTGTTTTACCAAACCCACACTGGAATAGAAAAAGATGCAGTTCAAAACCACATTCAACTACTCTGGGCCAACACCGTACTGACTGCAGAGTCACCCCCCCAATGGCCATAAAAAAGCCATAAATCTATGCAGACAGCCACCATAAAACCAGAGATCAAACAAAGTGAAAGCGGCATGCAGTCTGGACACTGCCATATAATGCGACACTCAATCAAAGTGAAAGTGGCATGCAATGTAGACGGGCATAAAGTATATAAAGTGGGTTTGGTATAGCAGCAGAGCAAATGCTAGATGCAGACTGGGCCTTAGTGTGACACATGTCTGCCATTGGTGCAGATCTTGCTGGGTCTTCTGGACTAGCAGTGTTTCAGAGCCTGATCGTCTGCAAACCACTATGTCTGGAAGTGCCTTTTGTCTTCAAAGGATGGTCCATAACGTATGTCATATGTTTTTGAGACCATTCTAAACCCTCCCTTTGTCCCATTTTAACCAGTGTTCTTTTGTCTCAAACTTGCTTCTCTTTTTCCTGCTCTTAACATGAGATATACTTTATATACTTTATGGATGGTACCATCTCCACATATTGCCTCTGTTCTCCATGCAGGGTATCAGCGGCACGAGTCGGGCAGCTGCAGGAAGCCCTGACTGAACAGCATTCTGTGCTGAACTCGCTAAAAGCAAAGTAAGGGGAGACAAGTCTCTGTGAGACAAGCTGGGCAGGCATTAGAGGGGCATATGGGAGTGAGCAGAAAAACTTGTAGGCAGGATGGAAATGGCATGTTCAGTTATTGTCGTCTACATGCAAACACTCTGGAACAGACTTCGCTCTGGAATAAAGCATTCAGGTGTGAGATTGCAATAATGTCAACTAGCTTCAGAAGAATGGGGGGAAGTTTGTCCCTTTGCCGTCACTTACCACTCTGATCATGTGAACAAGACACCTGGGCAGCTTTCATTGAGGCACGGGTGACACAAACAGCAGAGGCAGCGAAAATGTTGGGGCACTTCTGGACAGGATGTGTTTGTGGGTCTTGCTTTGGCATAGAATCAGACCTGTGCTCCTGGCCTGCTGCTCCTGTGTTGCGTTACTGCCTGTTCACCTTAGTAGGACATCGGCAAAACCATACCAAGGTGATGGAGGCTTATGTGTACTGTTGCACTCACCATTAGCAATCTTGCACACTTGGTGCCTTTGAGAACATTGATTCTTGGGGATGATTGGGGGTACTGTTATTGGGCAGTTAACGGTAAACTTTGAGGGTAAAAGGTTTTAAATGTTTGACTCAGTTTATAAAAAGGAGCAACGATGAAAGACTTGATGTATTAAAGCTAGTTGGAGGATCTCCTCTCTTGGGTTTTTAGTTAGTAGTGGGTACTTTACTTTCTCCAGTATGTGTAGTCTTCCCCTCCCCCTTTTTCTGTTGTAGTTTTTTTTGTAGTGATTAAAAAATCAATAAAAAATCCCCTCCGGGGGCTTTAAAAAAAAAAAAAGAGCAATCTTGCACACTTGGGATTTGATGTGAGGCGCGTTTACTGAAAAGGTCAAGTAGCTGCAGTAAGTGCTCTTGAAATGCACCCAAATGCATAGAATGGTGATGGCTCAGAGATCTTAATACTAAAGTTTAGATTGGCCGGAGTGACTCACGTAACATGTTGGGCTTTGTAGGCTCCAGATGACTGAGGCAGCCTTGGTTCTGTCGGAACAGAAGGTGCACAGTCTGGGTGAGTTGCAGAGTACGGCAAAGGAGGAGCAGGCAAGACTCGTGGAGAGCCATGCCAAGGAGTTGCAGCAGCTCAAGAAGGTAGGTTTTGTGGCCCTGACTGGGCAGAAAGGTGGGATATACATTTTGTAAATAAATAGCTTGGGGTAGTCTGGGGTGATAATGCCATTGAGGAGAACTGCGGAACTGCAGGATGTCTGGGAATGGAAGCTTTTGTTGGGAAAGGAGTTGGTTGAGTGGTGGCATGACCAATACACAAGATCTGGGGGAAGACTGGGGGACATACAGAAAGGAAATTGAACTAATATCTTCTGCTGGCTGGGTTGGTAGGATTCTGCTGATCGAGAAGCAAGGCTTCACCATGACCTTTCAGCTGCCAGTGAAAAAAATCTCCTGCTCAGGAATGAGGTAAGAAAACGGCCCTGAACATCCTCCGGTGGTTCTTTTCCTTGAGACTCCCTCTGGGGACTCCCCACAGACTCAAGCCTTGTCCCAGCGAACTGGTGTCATGTCCCAGGAGCCAACTGTCCTGTACGGATATTGTGCTCGCCTCTGTATCATGGGAGTGGCTTCCACCTAGGTGGATGAACTGGAAAGAAAGTGCAAAGGGCAGCAGGAGCAGCTGTTTCAGGTGAAGGAGACCCTGACCCACACGACGGCCGAGCTGAAGCTGCGGGCTGTACAGGCTGAAGGTGAGCATGAGTAGTCAAAGGTAAGCCAGAGCCTGGATTGCCTAGGGGGAAAAGGAGAGGGTGTCCAAGCTGCTGGAGCTGTATAGGTAGTCTTCCCTGTTTATCCCCAGAGCGCTTGGAGATGGAGAAGAGGAGGTTCAAGCAGAGCCTTGAGGATGCAGAGTCCCTTCGGCTAAAGGAGGTGAGGAGAGGACGGGTGGGACCTCAAGCAGCTGGGGAGGAATGGACCATACTAGGAAACTGCAATTCAGTTTCTTTTTCATGAGCGTAGAAGAACTGGTAGAAGCAGCGCTGCCTCAGTCTATTTTGATTACCCTCTCCCTCCGCCATCTTTTGATGTGCAATAGTTGTGTTTCCTCTGCCTTCTTATCGGCAGCCTTTTTTCTCTGTTCTGGCATGAAGGGAGTGGTTGTCCCAAGGAAGGCCCTTGGAATAGCAAAATGCTTGAAGGGAGGTATCTTTGGCAATTTCGCCAACTATGGTCCTCATTTTCCTGCTCCATACTTTCACAATTGCACCCATATGAGACCCTACTGCTGAAGGGGGGGAGATTGTGTTCCCCCTTGAGGGATTTCCTAATTTATTTATTTATTATTATTTAATTGGTCTGGAGTCCCTGAAACACTGTTGCCTGAGGCAGCTGCTTGCCCATCCTTCAAATCCAGGCCCCTCTCTTGCATCAGAAGATCAACTCTGTTCCATTGGTATTGTTCTGCTAAATCTTGGGCTTCTCCCTCTCTCCCTCCCTCTTTCCTCTGCTCCAAGACTGGTGCTTACTCTAAGCAGAGCAGTGTCCTGCCTTCATCTTTTGTTTGAGCTGAGGTGGTTCCCATTTGCTGAAGAGAGAGGCAGATTATAGCAGATTGTGTGTGGTTGATGCTGGTCTGGTCTCCTGATCTGAGCTGTTTGGATACAGGTAGCTCAAATGACACATCACTTGGAGGCAATCGAACATTCCCTGCAGGACAGAGTCCAGAGACTGGAAACTATCCGCATAAGGCTTGAGGAGGTGAGTGGAGGAGAATTGTGTGAATATGCTTTTTGCAGAACCCTGCTAAAGGTACATGAGATGTCTGGGGCTTCTGAATCTGGCTGCTTAACTTCCCATTGGATCCAGTCATAATCAGAGATGTACCAAGATAAGAAAATGACCCTACCTTTCCTGTGGGCCCACAGAAGCAAATGGCAGAAGAACCTGCTGAGGGACAGGTAGCACCAGTGGCTGAAGGCTAGCACTCCACATAGGGTGAATTGTTATGTGCTTGGACTTTAAAGCTTTAACACTTCTTTTTTGTTCTGCTGTCAACAAACCGCTCTGCCTTAGCATTCCAGACATGAACTGCTTCCTGCCACAGCTGAACACTCCATTATTTCCCATCCTCCTTTGCTTTGACATCCTCTAGAATGCTACATCCAAATGCAGTCTGTTGAGTGAAAAAAATTCTTATTCTCTTCTCTGGTACATTCCCTTTTCAAGGCCTAAAGTTGCCATGCCAAGGAGTTGCAGAAGCTCAAGAAGGTAGGTTTGGTGATGATCTTCTTGTGTTGTAACCAGGAACTGAGCCAAGTGAAGGCCGCTGCGGTTGTGGAACAGGGCCGGGTTGAGGAGGAGCTCATCAAAGCCAAACACCAAGCCAGGTTGGAAGAGGTGAGTGTGGCTGGACAGCTCAAAGGGACTGGCTGCCTTGGATTGTGTTACATGTTGCTGTAAGAAACAGAGAGGAGCCACCAGAAATGGGTAGCATTCTCTCCTGTCTCTCCCTCACTTACCACATGGCACCTCGACTGCATGGCATGCAGTACATTTCTATTGCACCTCTTCCACCAGGGAGTTCATGGTGGTGTACTTTTTATTCAAACAACCACATGGGCTGAAAGAGAGTGACTGGCCCCACTGATCATGCAGTGAGCAGAGCAAGGATTTGAACTCAGGACTCCCCCGTCCCAGTCTGACTCTGTAATCACTGCACCACACTGGTTCTTCCCACCCAGACTCGTAGCAAGCAATGATTTGGAGGAGGGTCAAGAATATGCAAAATCTAATGGCACTGGGATGTGCCGTTATATTACATTTTATGGGGAAAGGAGGGGATAACTCAACATAGAGCTGATATTTTACTTTTCTCTGCCCTCCTCCACATCTAAATTAGCAGATCAGTTAAAAATGCAAAACTAAAGATTGTCCAGCATAAAAAAACCAACATGAGGCTTCCACTGTGTTTTCTTTAGTGTATAGTCCTGCCTCTGGAGCACAGCAACATTTCTGTTGCAGAATCATGGAACTGTACAGCTGGAAGAGAATTCTGTGTTATGTTAGCTGTCTATCACATTTTTGCCATGTCCTTTCTCCAAGAAGCATATGGTGTTTTTTCTGACCCCCATTTTGCCATCGTATCAACCCTGTTCGATAGGTTAGGCTGAGAGAGAGAGTGACGAATTCAAACAGCCTTCATGGCTGAGTGGGGCTTTGAATCTGACTCTCCCAGGTTATAATCCAGCACAATAACCATTGCAAGACACTGGCTTTGTTAGCATGTGAAGACTATAACTGTAGCCCCTCAGCCTCTGTTCTGTTTAATGAAACATGGCTATCTGTTTCAGCTTGTTCTCTTAACTCAGATACAGTGTTCCTATAGATTAGTGAAGCTTGTTGTTTGCAAAGGCTTGTTTCAAGTATCATATTGCAGTGTAGCTTGCCTTTTCTCCCCCTTTTCCTCCCATAAAAGTGGGCCTAAGAGTTGAGCTGTGGTTTGAATTTAAAATGAAAGATTATGCCATAATAACTCTCAAATTTCTTGGCATTCAAGGGAGATATTGCATTACAGTGCATTTTTATGTTATTCCTGGCTATGCAGGTTGAGCTGCATGTCATAAGAGTATGCTCTAGATTTCACTGTTGTATCTGGGTGCTCAAGGGAAATATTGCATAACCACGTTTCTAGACCCCTTTGGGGGATCAAGCTCTAATTTTAACATGGAATGTTCAAAATGCACACACAAGGTCTTTCTAGATTTCCATCTTCAAGGCAGATTTTGTACTATCCTTCTCCTTTTGAAAATGGATGCACAGGCTGAGCTGGTAGTTGAACTTGAAACAGAACTGTCTTGTATGCATGTGTCAAATTTCACTCCAATATCTCAATATTTAAGGGAGATTTATTCATTTTATTTATTTAAAATCCTTGTATTTCTCCTTTCTGGTAAGGCTGAAGACAGCGATCATCAAGAATTAAAATACACACAGATATGTTTTGGGTTTTTTAAAGTATATAATTCTCTAAATAAATAAACTCAATCTTTTGAACTTAATTTTTTAATTTTTGAAATAACTAACACTAAACAACCATATACAAATACAATAATCTTTAGTAGTTGAATATGTTTGCTATCAATCATGAAAACTGACATCATCTGCCGAATTTGTACCAAATGTCCTTTGGAACAACAAAAGTATACAGGCTCTTCTAAAAGTGAATAGGGTAGAGGTTTTGACACACAGCCCCTGGTATGGCTGTTCCAGCAGCTGAAATCACATGATTCCTAACAGAGGTCATTTGGGCAGTTTGCAGTGATTTCAAGTCAGATCTAAGAGGAAGCACAGGTTATAGGCCTCATCCTGTGAAGGGCTTTGAAGGTAATAACCAGCTTTTTAAATTGAACTCTGCAGCAAATCAGAAGTCAGTACACTGGTTTCAGCACAGATGTAATATGGTCATGTAACCTTGCCCCTGACCTAGAAATTTTGGCTTCTGTAGGGAAAATTAACCTGCATCAGCTCTTACCAGGCACAGGAAACCAGACTTAGCATTTAAATGCAATTCTGTTTAGTGTACATGTGTTCCTAAAATACAGCCATTATGAAGGATGTCTCATTTCTAAAGCCCAACACTAAGACTGTCACCAAACTTTCTCTGGTGGCTCAAGGATGGGAAAGGTGGTCCCTCTTCTGTAACACAAGGATGTCCCATAATGTAATTTAAGCAAGGCTTCAAATGTGCCTTTCTTTATCTTCCTGTCACAAACGCCCATGATGCTCCTGTTTGTTTGAGAGTGGTTCAAGTATTGTGGGTTTGGGCTGTGTTTTTCCTCTTCGCAATTTATAGCAACAGCAATTGGACCACCTGAAGGAAAAGCTGCGTCTGATGGCACAGTCCCGCGATGAGGCGCAGAATTACTGCCTGCAGCAGAAACAAGCTGTGGCTGAGGCACTTGGAAAGGAGAGCCAGCTGAGCGTGCAACTGGAGGGACTCAAGAGACGGATGGAAGAGCTTCAGCAGGTGAGTGGAGAGAGTGGCTTGAAGGGGGGGGTGTATATGGGAAATGTGCATATTCCACAGCCAGTAAACTCAGCTTGGATGACAGCTTTTCAAATGGATACAATGTCTGCTCATTGCAGTAGTCTAGAAAAAAGTAGTCTAGGCTGCAGCATTTTGCACTAGCTGTAGCTTCTGGATTTGGGTCAAGGGCAGCCCCATGTAGAGAGCATTACAGTAGTCCAATCTCAAGGTGACCATCGCATGGATCAATGTCACCAAGTCATTGCATTTGAGGAAGAGAACCAACTGCCTAATCAGCTGAGGTGCTAAAAGGCTGATTTGGCAGTGGCTGCTACCTGGGCCTCCATTGTTAGTGAGGCATCCAGGAGCACTCCCAAGCTCCTGACCTTCAGTGCTGGCACCAATGGCGCCCCATCGAAGGTCAGAAGAGGGATCCCTACCCTTGGGCCACCCTGGCTCAGGCACAGGACCTCCACCTTCGTTGGATTCAATTTCAGTTGGTTCAGTCTGAGCCAACCAGCTACAGCTTGCAACGCCCGGTCGAGATCTTCCGGTGTAGAGTCAGACTGGCCGCCCAACAACAGATAGAACTGGGTGTCATCTGCATACTGGTGACTTCCCAGCCCATGCCGCCGGGCAATCTGGGCAAGGGGGCACATGTAGATGTTAAATAACATTGGGGACAGCACCACCCCTTGGGGCACTCCACAAATCAGTGGGTGCCTTTGGGATAGCTGCTCCCCTAGCGCCACCCTTTGTCCCCGACCCTGAAGGAAGGAAGCCAGCCATTGCAAGGCAGGCCCCTGGACTCCAGTGTCGGCGAGGCGGTGGTTCAGTAACTGATGGTCAACCATGTTGAACGCCGCTGACAGGTCCAACAGCAACATCACTGCCAATCCGCCCCGATCCAGATGCCTCTAGAGGTCATCCGTGAGGGCAACCAGTGCCGTCTCCGTCCTGTGGCCTGAGTGGAAACCGGACTGGAAAAGATCTAGAATGGAAGTGTCATCCAAAAAGCTCTGTAGCTGAATTGCCACAATTATTTTGCCCAAATAGGGCAGATTGGAGACCAGCTGGTAATTAGCCAATTTGGCCAGATCCAGAG